TCTTTAAAACAAGTCATTCGGAAGAAGAAAATCGGTAAGGCAAAGTCCTCTGCCTTCTGTACAACAGGTGTAATTCTGGCATACGCTATGCTAAGCATAAGGCAGTCTGTGAAGAAAACTATCACCCATCAGCGGAAGTCAGCGAACATTTACTGTTCAGCAGCCTAAAGTCGCATTATAACCGATATGATCCGAAATGACAGAGAAACACACACACACGTATCTACAAAATAATAAACTAAGGTTGTACAAATCTAACTCGGGTTCTTTTCCATTTTTCAAATTCAGCCACGCCCTAGCTACCATATGAGGGAATACCATAAACTGCCTTAAATGGTCATAAATGTCAACGTACAAAAACAACTTACCCAGAAAACGAAGTTGAACAGGAATAAAGCGTATTTGATCAGCGTCATCATACCGTGAACCATCTTCGCCGGTCACCGTCTACTCGTGCTACAATACTACTACAGTTAGTCGATCTGTCAATCATGTCTAGAAATATAAAAGATTTTCAGGTTAATACGCACAGCATCGGTTACTTGTTAATACAGTGAATGCCGATTGAATATTTTGCACCGCGCGCTGTTGTAACACTGGACATACAACAATAAAGTAGCTTATTTTATGACAGTTAAAATGTCAATGCATTGGTGCAACGAATCGATTTAGCATAATTTTGTACTTGTTAGGTTCGAATCTAGAAGAATGCTGGTTTTTCTTAAAGGTAAATTTCCCTAAGCCAGGAAATCATTCCTCCCACCTTGCATCAGCACAGCTAGAGGAACAAAAATTTGCTGACTTACAAACATGAAGGAAAACATTAAGTGGCATTGTTGTCAAATTGAACTTTGCTAAATATGCAGTCATCTTGCGAGAGCCTCAGAGTTGCAATTCGTGCGGACCCGCCTTCTGAGCAACTTTATGTAACATTCAGTACAGTATGTGAAATCAATAACTAGTGTAATGATAGTACCACTGATTTAAATATTACAGCATTAAATGAAACGATGCGGGACATGGAAACATACGACGATGCAATTAGTACAGAAGAACAAATAGCGTTAGGTCATTGTTTAATCTTGCACTGTTATATGTCATACAAATGCTGATTTTTCATACAGAATTATTTTTAACAAGATTTTTGCAGCGAGCAGAACAGTACGCCTGTCAGCAGTGAAGTCATCTGTCAATAAACGATGGATGATATCTATCCGCTGTGCCTTCTCGATCTTAAAATGGTCAAAACGGATCTTGGCTTTTGAAGAAAGTCAGGAAAGAACTGTATTAACCGTTTCATACGGAAAACGCTGTGTTCAAAGAAGCGTAGTACACAGATTTCTCGTCTCATGCATATCTGTTTCTGATCGCTAAAGCAGGTTCAGACATCCATCCAGACATGAAAAAGTTGTACGTGTTTAAAATGGTGCGTCAGATGCTGTCATGTGATTTGATTCAGCAGTTGCGCCTGGAAAATCTAGTGAAGCAGGCATTCGAATGCTCGAACAGTCTTTCGCAGCAACTCACTGAAAATGTAGTGCATGATACTGAACACTGCACAGTCCAGGTGGTTATCGCTACTAACCTGTACAAGATCAAAAACCATGTCCATATCTGCTCTTGCATAACTTGATAGAAAATCTGTCATATTTATGATGTTTGATGGATTACATACAGATTTCTTCAATTTTCCAAATTCGTACGCAATGTGTCCTCCACTTACGCAGAGTTTCTTTAAAGATGAATAGGCGATTAACCTAACTGTCAGAACTCGATCTTTACGGCTGCTGAACTGTTATCCACCTTGCTTGAATTTGTATGCAGTGCATTAAATTTACAATTATCAGCTTCTCACGATGCAAATATGGATATCAGTATTTCATATGTCGTCTGTTAACAAAACTGCTGATAGATAAAACTTCTGTTGAAAAGTGAAGGAAACGGCAAAGGTCGCAGCACATGAATGCTTAGTTTACTTCAACTTAATGGAGTGAAAAAATCAGTAAAAAAATATGGGCATTGGCAGGGTCATATTGAACTTTAATGCAACTTTTTATACAGGTAGATGACCACTGTGCTTGTTTCCGTTGACATGCCTATGGACTTACGTATAGGGGACAGTGGCATAACAGGCATACTTTGTGTTACATGTTTGCAGTATCTAGCAGAAACTCTATGCGCGGTTTCAATTTTTTTCCATCTTAACTGTTAAATTCACCGCTGTCGGTCTCAAGCCCAGATTTGAAAGGCGAAGGGTTTTGGAGGTCTTGCAGTCGGATATCCAGACGGCAAAAGGATTTGCTGGAAGACCATCCGCTGTGTCCGAGGTGAAAAGAACGGCAGTCTGAGAGTCCTGCAGGACACACATGGACGCCATTATACTAAGGATAAAGACTTTCTTCGGCGATGGAGCGAATTCTTTGTTTAACTGTCTAAGCTGAAGCAACTGTAGGAGCATTAGCTGGAAGGGAAACAGCTAATCGATACTAGTCTTTGCAAAGGCTGTAAAATAGCTTGGAAGTGACAAGGCTGGTGAAATTGATGAAATGCTCCCTGAAATGCTTAGAACTGTAAATAAGCAAGACATGCTGTCGCTACCACGCGTCTGTCAAATTGCATTAGCTACGGGAAAGGTACAATAGAGCTGACTGAAGAACAGGGATTATGATATCCTTGTTTAAGCATGCAGGCCAAACCAAGTCAGCTAATCATCGGACAGGGCATTACCTTATTGTGCCCCAGAGTAAATTATACGTAAGGATGCTGGAAAGAAGGTACCGCAGAGTAAATGACTTTAAGATAAAAGAAGAGCAGCGTGGATTCAGGTCAAATCGAAACACCTGTGACCAGACTTTCGCCAGATTGTTGAGAGGTCGCGGGATTCGCTTATTCGTTCACTTTTGCTTTGTGGATTTTGAGCAAGCCTATTACTGGGTCCGGCGGATGATGCTATGGCAATGATGGAAACTTATTTGATCGTTGGTTAGTTGCTTCAAGCCATTCAATCACTATATGTTGAAAGCAACCGCTGTGTCGTAGTGAATGGCGTTACGTAGAGAACGTTGGAAATTGTCTCCATCAACGTTGCGTCATGTCTCTTCTCCTGTTTGTGTGGTACATGGATAGCATAGTCAGGAGCAGCAAAGACGACGAGCTCATCAGCGAAGCAGATGTGACAACAAGAAGCTAATGTTTGAAAACAATTTTCTTTTAGTGGTATCTTCAGAAATTGATCGCTGGCGTTCATTGAAATGGTTCGCAGTTAGTTCGACGTTGCAGGTAAGCGCTTGAACGTGTTTGAACGAGTATCGTATTGCTTTCTCGTTCTTCTGCTTATTGCGTTTTAGTTATGAGGGTTGACCAGGAAGCAGGAGCAGTTCACGTTTGTCCGGGTCATGTTTATGGGTAACGGATCAGGAGAGAAATGGACTGACCGGAAACTGGAAATGGACAGCGGAGTTATGCGTGAACCATAACTGTTGCGACTGAAGCAGAGCAGAGTCAGAAGGCTAAGTGCTTGTGTTCAAGGTATTCTTCATCCCCATGCTCACTTTCGGTCAAGAGTCGTGGGTGACTGCTGAAAAGCTTAAATCCCGACTAGGGGATGAAATTGGTTTTGAAACGAATCGCTGAGTTCACGTGCATCGGCATGGCCCGGAGTACAGCGCGAGGTAGCCTCGGTGTACTGTCGCTGCTTCACCAGATTGAAATGTCCCCCATGCGATGGTATGGATACTTCGTGTAAAATCTTCTGGAAAAAAACACGAAACAGCTATCACTTGCCCATATGATCGACCAAGATCCCAGGGATGGCCATGAATAGCTTTGACAAAGTGCATTGAAAGACTGTGCTCCAGAGTCTGGCCATGTTCTGTCGAAGCTCAAACGCTTGCGTATTATCTAGAACGTTGAAGACACCATCTGACGGATCTTGCACCACGAGCCGGAAGGATAAGCGCTCATCAAAGCGAACTGACTGAATAACTGCTAATTCTTTTGGACAAGGAATGCATCTCACTGCGCATCTATGAAACCCGTAGAAAGTCGTTTATATGCGAACAGTACTGATGGCAATTCGATCAGGAGGTGTCATGATGGACCTTGTGACACCTCTGACTATACTGTCTAATGCATAAGCTTTACGGTTGCGACTGTCCTTCTCCCGCCTTATAGCGGATTTGAAAACGGTACAAATCTGAGACGCTGTCAATAGTAGTAAAGTGAATACAGACAGTGTCCTTGAAAATATACTAATTCGCGTTCCTGAGGTCAGAATCGCCCCATCGTTTTCCTCGTATTCGTCAGCTCCATATGAGACTTTGAAATCAGTTTCTATTACCCTAATTTTTCTGATCTGTTTGCATCACGGCTTTAAATGTTGATCTTCGAAACTTGTATTAAATTATTACTTAATACTTAATATACTCCAAGTTTATAACGGTCATTGCTATCATGAGGACAGACGACAGAGTTTGGTCCGGAACGCCGGTAGCTGTGCAGAATGTATATAATTAAAACTTTATGCGCTGTAATCCGATTTGTAACTTGCGGAAATACGTACTCTTTGTCTAATTATATTAATCAGTAAATTTATTATAGCACAAGGATTTTTATAATAAAAACCGCCATGTGATAATCTTCATAAATACCACTACCATATATTGCTTCTGCATGTAATTAACGATGCCATTTGTAAGAGAAACATGAGAAATCGATCGTTCAGCTAGGTGCAGATGATTATAAATATCCCAATCATGCGGCTTTCGATCGATATTCCAAGAATGATGCCGAAAGATTGGTACTTTCCCAGAATATGACGAAGGCCTTCACGTCGGTTTAAAATCAGAAGGCGTATCGCGAGAACGTACAGTGAAGACAGAATGCCAAACACAGAATCTGTCCATGTCATAGCTTCATGATGGATATGAGCGAGAAGTTTATCAGTAACAGATGACCGTTAAGATTGCCAGAAACTTTATGATCGATTTCCGCAACGAAATCGAAATAAGACACTGATTTATGTGCTACTTTGCAAGTATTCATCGTCATTGAGTATCCGAACGTGCCATGCTCCTATCGGATTTACTCGCTGATGAACATGCGGCTTTTAAAATTGTAACACAAACACAGCAAGTGCACAAAAATACCTTGATTAAGCAAGAGGTACCACCATACCGTAGGAAGATAAGGGGTTCTCTACCGGGTAAAACGTCTCTTTGCCTTTCGTGGTACTTTCAGTTCTCCGGTTCGTGCTTAGCAACTTTTACCAGAGGTCGCTTCCCTCGTTACTCGTGTAGCTGAATGAAACCGGGTTGCACGTCGCTGTCTAATGAACATGCCAGCGCTTGAATAATGTCTCCCGCTATCTTTCAAGTTTCGCGAGATTCTGTGAGACGCTACTTTGAATCTGCATTGTACTTATTCAAAACAG